AAAAAATTTTAAAGATATTTTTCTAGGCATTTTGCCTTTAATTGACAGGACAGGCAAGTGTGAAAGGGGGAGAGAGAGAGAGAGGGGATGACATGCAGCAAAGGGCCACAGGCTGGACTCAAACCTGGGCCACTGTAGCAACAGCCTTGTACATGGGGCGCCTGCTCTATTCACTAAGCCACCGACGCCCTGTAGAGCAGAATATTTTAAAAAGATTTGTGTTCATATCTAGCACATTTAAACAGGATTTACTATTACAGATAAAAATTCTACAGGGTTGATGATAAGGCAGAGTAGTTATCATCTGAATCAATCGCTGGCTTCTCAGGTTACCTTCAGAGGAAGAAGCATAGAGGACGTGCTGCAGCTTGTCTCTAATCACAAACGGTCACCAACAACCAAGAGATCTAGTTTCTGTTCATCTGATGAAGGAAACCAGGGGAGAAGATCTTGTTATTTAATTTGCAGTTTGTAAGGAGATGTGACTGCCATCTATTTAATCTGACAATTAAACATTATCAAATTTTACTTTTTAGTAAAGACCTAAAAATGTAGCACTGGCTCAAGTTGCAGACCAATAAGTATACAAAACAAACAATAAAACAACTAAAGACAAAATTGGGTAAAACTTAAAAATACTATAAAGACATGCTTCCAAGTAAATTTGTTTATTTTTTGGCCCCATAATTTTCTAGTTTCCCTGGGGGGAAAACTATATATTTTGGTACAATTATCAGTGGTGGAAGAAGTGAGATGCTTTACTTAAACATAAGTAGAAATAGGAAATGGGAGCCTAAAAATACTCCATTACAGGTAAAAGTCCTGAATTCAAAATATTACTTAAGTAAAAAAGCAAAATGTAGTTAAAGTATAACAAGTAAAAGTACTCATTATACAGAATATCTAATTTTAAAGCTTTACGTCATTCTATATTATTATTTATTAATATATGATAGAGCATTTTAATGTTGTAGTTCATCATTGTGGAAGCATTTGAGATACTACCGGGTAGTTTTAATAGTACAGCGCTGCATCACTTACATCAGCATAACGTGTTTTTTATTTCATATCAACTCACTGAGAACCTCCAAGTTCATGTCATGGATTTTATTGAAAACAAAATTATGAGGGAACTTACATACATTTTTACCTATAGCGCTACTCAAAATATATTTTTAGTCATGAATTTGTTAAGTTTGGTCTGAGCCAATTCCTTAATTTCTACAAATGTATTCTAAGCCTCACCTAGTGCTCATTATTCACTGAATTGGGTGGAAATTTGCCCTGAACATTGAAGGACCTGTGAGGTCAAATTGTAACATAATCATTTAGTTGCTGCTGAATGTTTTACAGTCATCAAATAAAACTTTTTTACTTGAACAAAGAACCTTTACTATTACTTAACTTACTACAACAAATCAAAATTTGGTTGCAAGGAAACTAGTAGAAATCTTAATCTTTTTAAATTAAAGATTCCGTAAGGGATTTTTTTCTTATTTGATTACTGTAAAACAGTCAGCAAAAACTATCCATTTTGCAAATTTTCCTCTGGGGTTTTTGGATGTTCAGTACAAATTTCAAACAAATCCAATGAAAAATAAGCAATCGGCAAGGCTTTGGATACAGTCAAAAACTATGAAACATAGCTCCAAGGGCCAAAGCTGAAGTAGAGCTATATGACTTTGCAAAGTGTCATCAGTTTAATTGAAGGTTTTTTTTGTTTTTTTTTTTAAAGAAAATTTATAACAAAAAATAGGAAAAGCTCTTAACACTGGATGAGTTGGCATGAAATGACCCTTAAAGTGTAGTAACTATAATTGTAAAAAATACGATATTTCCCTCTGAAATATAGTAAAGTTGAAATATTAAGAAAAACAAAAATACTCAAAGTACAAGTATGTTAAAAGTGTACTTATATAGATGAGTAAATGTACTAAGTTACATTTCACCACTGCTAATTATTGGGGAAATATTTTGAAACATTTGATAAATGACATGAAAAATGAAAAAACAAATTAAATACTACCTTAATTATTCCAAACTTATATGCCTGACTGTAGACAAAGTTTACATTTTTGCATTTTCCATGTTCAGCTGACCTTCTGCACACTGACTAACAGATTGTCTTGGTTGTACCAGAAATTACTAACAATGGGAAACTACGAGTCCTGTAAAATAAACTGTCATCAAATTGTGTGTAAATATTCAAAGCATTTCATGCAAGGCAAGCGATCGTAAACAGTTTGTGTCTGGAACAACAAAACTGTGGTGAGATGTTAAAAAAAGAGTTTCCTTACGAACTTAAGGTTAACACAGAAACTAAATTTATACTCGTATCATGACTACAAGCCTGCAACATGGCATTTATTTCAATTTTCACCATAGAGAAGCTCAGTTTGTTGCCCGTCTATGCAAACAGATAACGATGCTGCATTTCTGCTAAACTGCTGATTACTGAAGGACATTCAAGGACAAAGGGTTTCCTCCATCAGAGAACAAGCTGCCACCTCCTCTCCACCTACCTAACCTTCCTCCTGCCTGCTGCAGGTCTCCAGGGAGGATCAGGTGCTGCGCCAAATCTACCGGACTTTCCAGGCTGAAACCCAGACGGACTGATGGGACTCCTCCGTCACAGTCCGCTGGTCACACCTGTCTCACTTCATCCATCATGTCACACCCTAATCAAAAACACACACACGGAGTCAGTTTACAGGCTTCGATTAGGACAACGGAAAGATCAGGGTTTTACATGTGAAACAAAACAATGATTCATAGAATTCTGTTACTACAAATTATACGTTTACGTACGTAAGTTTATTTAAAATGTCTAGGTCGCAAATATCTTCTTTCAGTATCATTTGAATGAATATATTTTTAAAAAAAAAAAAAAATTTATTAGATTTTTTTGGGGCTTTTTAGCCTTTAATGGATAGGACAGACGTGTGAAGGGGGGAGAGAGAGAGGGAGTGACATGCAGCAAAGGGCCACAGGCTGGGGTCGAACCCGGGCCCCTGCGGCAACAGCCTTGTACATGGGGCGCCTGCTCTACCACTAAGCCACCGACGCCCCTGAATTAATATATTTCAATGTTAAGCAGGTTCTAATGAGCCAAAAACTCACTTCTACTCCACATTTAGTTCTTTTTATATCCAATATGATAAATTTTGACATGCAAATCAGCTCCACTACCCCTACTCTTACTGCTGTCACTATGATCATGACTAGTATGAATGTCAGTACTACTTCTATAATGAGTGAGAGAAAATAAATAAGATTTTGAGGTATTTCTACCTTACTCAAATCATTTCATTTATTACTATTTTAGACTTTTGCTCCACTACATTTCAGAGGGGAATATTGTACTTCTTAAGCTCACTAAATTGGCATAAAATCTTAAATTACTTTGCAGATCTATATTAAAACAAAATATAAACTAATAAGTGATTAAATATTATAAGTTAAACTACTCAGCAGTATGTAAAGTAGTAGGAATTAGCTTCACCTTTGCCAGCTCTAACAATACCAAACACATTTATGCATCCATAACAAAATTTAAAAAGTAAATTTTTATGCTTAAAGTATAATGTGATGAGAATACTCGTACATTTTTAAAATGGATTTTTGAGGATAACGTTGTTTTTTGTATGCAACATATAAAGGTACACTTTACTTTAACTGTACTGAACAATTAAAAATAGCAAGGAAATTTTAAAAAAGCATCTAAAGATGAGATTGCCTGTACATGTAAAAATTTTGGGTAGACAAAAAGTACTTTTCAGGACAATCCTGGAAAATAAAGTAACCACAGGCTTACATGCGAGACTTAAAAACAATATACACTAATTAAATCATAACTACGTGAATACAAGAACCTGATTTTCTGGAGATAACTACGGCATTCTCTCAATTGTATGGTGGGAATTTGGGGCAAAAAATGAAAAACAGGGCAAACTACAAGCATAGCAAATAAAAAAGTGTACAGGCTGGTTTATCCAGATTACAATAAAACATTTTCTCACTTGCCTCTGGTGGTATCTAGCCGTGCAGACAGATTTGGGTGTTTTTGTCCATGCTTTGAGACACTGCCTCGTGAATTCAGTCTGTGGTGCTTCACAGCTGTGAAAAATGACATGTAGAAAAATTTAACACCATCTCTTTCCACAAAAAAAGGCCTTGATAATCTCGATGATTCACTGAACACAGTCAACTCTTTTCATAGAGTAAATATAAAAGTATTTCCAGTGAAAACTCTTCACAGGAGGGTTTGCCTCTGAAAAGACACACTGCTGTTGAATTAAATAAAATTTAAAGAAAAAACCAAAACCCTCTGCATGGCTAGATACCACTTCATTTGACGTGTGGATAAACCGGCCCTTTAAAACATGTCAATAGATTTAAATCTTGATGTTAACTAGGGCAGTGGAAAAAGGCTAAAAAAGACCTGAATAAATCAGTGAAGTAGCACACACTGTAAACACTGTCTAAAACAAACAAATACATTTATACAAACAGGGACTAACTCACATAATGCACTGATTTTACTTCACTTGTCTGTCCTTTAGATATTAAAACAATAACATACAAATGTTTGAGTAACTCATAATATATGAAATCTCTGAAACTTGGAATCCAAATTAAACATAATCAGTAAACATTTCATAAAAAATCCGGAAGCATTTCAAGACAAGAAATGAAATCCAACGTGACTTAAAAACCGACTGCTTAAACTCTTCCACTCCACCTCTCCCTAACAAAGGTCCATTTTTGTCATGGGAGGACAGGTGATCTTTAGGGGGATATAGCAGGTCAACAGTATATGTCACATAGAAGTGGCGTATTTCATATGAAAGCTGGAGGCCTGAAGATTTAATTGAGATGCAGCTCAGAACATTATGATGGAGGTATATGATGGCCATTCCCATGATCCATTATGTATTTTTGGGTTTCATAATGTTATATATGTTATTGTTTTATCTGTTTTGGACCCCAGGAAGACTAGCTCGTCACCTAGGTGGCAGCTAATGGGGATCCTTTTAATAAATAAATAAATAAATAAATAAACCATTTGTTACACAGATTTGTTGCCAAATTTAAGTTTTTATCACTCAAGCATTGATAAAAATTGTCAAAAATCCCTGCAAAATATAACATTAAAACTGTAAAGGTGTAAACCACCTAACAAAAATGAGCATTTAGGAAAAAAAGAAAAGACATGATAGTAGTTGTGTCTCTCCAGCAGGGAAAGGGGACGGGGGAGGGAGTGGATAAAGGAAGGAAAGGAGGAGTTTGTCTGATCAGGAGAAGTGAAAGTGAAATCTATCTCTCGAGTATTTAAAGAGGAAGTTTGGGTCTCGGAGCTGTTGGCAGACGGGACAGCAGAGGAGAACACACTGCTCTGAGACACTGGTGAGCTGCAGAACTTTTCGACACTACTCTTCAAGCTGTATAATCATGTGACTGATTTGTACCGGCCTGTCTTCCTCTGCTTTCACTTTGCTTTCACTCTGTTGGCTTTAGCTGCCAAGTCCTCATTCCACCTCTCCCTCTCTCCTCATTTGACTTCTTAAACTTTGTCTTCCTATTCTTCTCATAAATTCTTGTTTTACTGCTTGTAAAACTGCTTGTGTTTGTCCTGTCATTTGACTCTTTGTTGGACAAAGCCTTCAAGCTTTCTTATCAGTGGTTGAAGTGCAGGTGACAAACTGAAAGTTTAACTGAGTCCTCTTTTTTTTCTCCACCAACTGCCTCTTTTCTTTCAATGTTTAGTTCTCATTTTCAGGGTTTCTTTGAGGACATGAGAAATGAATGCAGCTTTAAAATCAGAGTCTAAAAGTTTTTTGTTTTTTTTTAGCTCCACGGGGAAAGTCCTACAATGTCTTCCTTATTTTTTTTCAGCTCTCTCCTTCCCTTTATCTTTCAATCAGCTCTTCCTCGTCAGTCTGACCTCTCGTGTTCCTTCTTGCTTGCTCTCCTTTTTCTCTCTGTTGCTCAAGAGATGATACACAACTGGTTTTTCAAGCCGGTACGCCATTACAAAAAGACAAAGAGCTATTTATATATTTGATACTGTAAGAGATAGGCATCATTCCCTGCAACAATATTTAAACAGTCTTGGAGGAAAGTTGATAAAATTTAGTGTCGGTAACTCAAAAGGTGACACGTCTCAGTTGAGGAAATCGTCAAAATCTTAAAAAATTAAGCTTTCTCAAATTTTCTCCATGATTTTTTTTCTTGCATCTTGCAGAACGTTAAAGTAGAACACGTTTCAATTTTCCATTTTAACAAGACCAGTGTCGGACTTTTCAATGCCTAAAATGGGCCAGTATTTCTAAATACTAATCTAATCTCTACTCAGAAATTAAATTAGATGTTTAAATACAAAATGTTTCAAATACGGTCGGACCAGCAAGCATCGAAATCATATTTACAGCGGCTGTATTTATGGTTTACTTAAAACACAGAACATACTTTAATATCTCTTGGCCAAAAATCTGTAAGGTTAAGTATCTTATTTTGCCTACATTTTTACAGCAAATAAAAAATTAGTCTCTTAATAATTAATTAGAAACTTAAAGGATTTATACTGCAGATGCCCATATTTTTTGTTAATGTGCTTAAATTTATCATATAATCATAGCATCTTTTCTTCCTGTAAGCCATTGTAAAGAAGCAGCTGTAGGCCGTTCAGAAAGTGTTTCGCTCTGCTTACATTGTGATTTTGTGGATAAACTCAAGAGTGAGTTTTAAAGCACTAAGTTAGAGCAGATTGATGAGTTTCAATGGTTTTCTTGTTTTATGTTACACCACAACCCAGTTTACTTGGATATCACTACGGTTGTTTCTGCAGCTGTTTGAAAGCAGAGTAAAAATGAAGATGAAACAGCTAAAACGTTGCATAAATAGTTTATGAACTAGACTTAAGGAACACATGAAAGATTAGCTTATTAGCTGAGCATTATGTATATATACTGCTCAGATTATAAGCTAATGTTTCTTGTGTATATACATACATTACACATACACATTAAATACATAAGCCAAGGAGAAATATTTTCCATTCACTTCAAATGTAATTAAACCTCAGCTAACAGAGCCGTGGTTTAGTTAGACTGTGATTCTTTATTGTTTGTTTAAATTGAGGTTTTGTCAGCACTGAATAACCAGAGGACAGAACAATGTGAGCCAGAGGAAGCTGATGTGTTTGAATCATTCAACTGAACTTTCTGCTGCTTGCCTTGGAAACAAAGCTTACATTAAATGTAGGAGGAGAGGAGCATTTATTTATGAATTTATTTTAACTATGGTTTATGGTGAGTAGCTGAAAACAATTGCAGGATGTTTAGGAGTTTTTGCTGCTGTATAAAATTGGATAGAAAGCATCACTCTACTCCCAAAAAATAAGATTTATATGTACCTCTAGTGAACTGTCCCTTCGTGGTCCATCATTACAACATTTTGACTGAGTGTTCAGTTTCAAAATAAGTCTGAAGTTGCGTTTTCTACATGGGCAAAACACCAAGTAGGACACAACTTTGTACCAGTGATTAACTGAATGGTTCAAATGCATGCTGCAAGCTGCAACTAACAGAACTGATTGTGAGATGGTTTCAAAATCTTTCAGGACTTGCAGATCAACCCATAAACCTTTGGTTGATTAATCTGACTTATGAGATGTAAATGTGCCTGTTATCCCTGTTAACAATCTTCTTTTTCTCTTTTAGCCATCTCAACCTGAGCAGAGCCGAGGCCGGACCTGAAGCTCGTTTTTGTGGGTGGGATTGTAACGGAACCCATAATGCAGCTGTGATTCTGAGCTCCAGCTGGTTATGGGGTCCGTTTCCATCCCACAATGCACAGGACATCCTGAGCAGACGGGTGGACGTTGAGCGCTTCTCCATCAACAATAAGATACTACAGCTTCACATTCAGTCATCGTATTACTTAGCATTTCTTGAGTCAGCCTGTTTGAACACAGATTCACATCATTTCAGTTGAAAACTTTATTGTTCTTTAAAAGCAAAAACAAATTTAAAACACCTGTAACAGTATAGAACAGTATAAAAGTATCTACAATAAAAATACACATCCCAGCTGACTGAGCCACAAACAAATAACAAAGCCAATTGAGCTTATACTCTTCTGAGTCATATGGTTGAGTCAAGGTGGGACGACAGTTTTGTTTCTCTCAAATAAAGAGAGAAAGTGAAACTAACATCAGTATGTTTAATGCTGCTGACTGATGTTTAGATTGCTGATACACAGTGACGGTGCTTTTCTTCAATGACACGTTTTCTCCCGGATTGCTGACAACAGTAAACGCAACCGGGAATTTCGTGTCAGACAAGAATGACACCCAGAGCAGAAACTTGAGTGCTTACAATCATTTTGGATTCTCAGTTTGTGCAATGTACTTTTTTCTGCCTGTATTTCTCAATAGATATTTCTGATAAATCTCAAAATCCTAAACTGTCAGTTACTGTGTTTATTTTTCTAACATTACCCACCACCACACATATTTATGACTGTGCTACAAACAGATGAACCACTGAGGACCGGCTTCTCTTCTACTACAGTGTTAGTGGTGTGCATCGTTATAGCTTAACTCTGGTTTCCTCTCCTGCTGGGAGACACTGCTGAGTGACACGACTGAAACATGACATTTACATCAGTGTTTGACACAGTGACACTTTCTCTAAATACCAAATTTCAACAATGTTACCAGTAACCTATCATTTACTGAAGTCACACATTAGAATAGCTGTAACAGCATAATCATCCCCAATTAAAGAAAATGCGAGATACAGTACATAGATCCATGTCAAACACCACAATACATTTTGTGGTCATTCATTGTCTTTCATGTAAACTGAAGGCAAAGTTCACACTGCAAGTGTTAATTCTCCAAACTCAGATGACACATCTGATATTCTGATTCACACGTTCAGAGATTTTCAAGCATGTTTTGAGTCAACAGAGTCCGAAATGTAATTATGTCTTTAAATGATCAGCTCTACATGATTATACATATATGTTAAAAGAATCCACCAATTCAAAGTCTAGCTAGCCAATGTCAATGGAATTCATTGTTTGGAGTTTATGGTTACAAAGGTTCTGTATATTGTGTGGCAATATTGCAATATGATATGCATTTAAAGGAATACTTCACCCACACAATGATTATGTACATCAAAACTACTCACCCCATGTTGGGCTGAATCTGAATTAAACTGTATTCTGGCATGCCTTTAGTGAACAAAGAATCCAAAAACTGAGAACATTTTTGATGAAATGGAGTAAAATGGGGCCACGTTTAACAACTGCAAAACTATATCGGCACAACCGATTACAAACTCTCACACAACTCATGCAGTATAATCGAAGTCTCACTTATCAAGTCGTATGCTCGGTGCTTTCCAAACCTGACTATTTACAACACATTTGCTCCAATTCTTCCAAGACTTTTCTCTCTTTCTGGATCCTTCGTTCATTGTGGAGGCACGCAAGAAGTTTTCTTAAAGCGTGGTGAGTAATTGATAAACAATCATTTTGTGGGTGAAGTATTCCTTTAGCAACTTATTTTTACAAGTTTTATGACAGTGGTGCGGTGGATTATAATGATGCAGCTTCAATGTTCCTTTCAATTTTGTGTTTTTTTTTATTGTGCCTTTGCACAGTGTTTTTGGCACCATTGCCAGTTTACAATGGTGTTTCTCCAGGGTTGACTAAGAAGATATAAACAAAGTCATACGAGCAGTGAATCAGAGCAGAGCATGAAGGCCTGCAGTGTCCTGTGTTTTTTAGACTTGGATTAGATACAGGTTAGCAGAGTCCAAGTCAAAGGCAAGATGATCTCAGTTTTCCTTACATTGTTGAAAAATTAAAGTAATGTGGGCTTAGGCACGAGTCAGCTGGTGGAGGAGAGAGACTACACCTAAATAACCCCGGTGTATGCTGTCTTCACTCACACAGAAAGTGTCAGTCAGTGACCTGAGGGTGCTGATGTTGAAGGGAACCTAGAAAGTATCCTGTCCACGAGTTCAACGTGTCTCTCGTGGTTTTCTCGGCTGATCCTTTCGTGCATGGCCACCAGCTGGCTCATTAAACTGTTCTGCATTTCCCTCTCGTGGTCCATCAGCCTCTGTAGCCGGGCGTCCTCCTGCGCCTGCATGGAAGCGTCCATCTCTCTGAGCTGGGTGACTGTCGCTGACACTAACGAAGAGACTTGGTCCATCACTGTCCTTTTCTTTCTCTTTGGTGGAACTGTGTACTCTAGGAAACAAAAAGAGAGCCAGTCAGTTACAGAGAGGCGACAGATTTTTATTGTTCTGTCTCTGTGCTTCAACACACTAGACTTAAAATAAAATAATGACTATGAGGTTTAAGTTCTGACTTTTAGCTGTGAGGCTGTTTACATAAAACGTTTGTCATTTTTTTCTTTCAAATCCAGTGTGTTGGAGTTGAGACAAACATCAGCAATAACATCACCTTCACTGTCATTAGATTAGAACATGGGTATAATATGTACACAATATGTAATATGTATTTAAACCCATATTAGATACGTTTGCATGCTTGCAGTTTTGAGCGGCAACAAGAGGGCTAAGGGTTGTAAAATGTAATTCAAACATAAATACATTTTTCCAAGTTGTGACAGAAATGTTATGATGTGACATCAGTAACTGTATTTTCATATTCACCCACCTGACTGGTCTCTGGGTCTGCTCCAAGGACGCTCACTTTGATGGTCTGTAACAACAAGAATGGAGACAGTAAGTTAAATATATGAGTGGGCTGCTGTCTGTCTGCTTGACCACTGACAGCACTGTAATTAAAACCAGGTAAAAGCAGCCACTTCAATTTTTACCTTAGGATGACAAATAGCTAATGGCAAATTGTTTTATGATTAAATCTGCTAAACACATTTAACACTAACTGCACACTATTGCAACAAAATATGGAAGCATTTGCAGCTTTGACAGCTGGTTTGACTGATCTAGTTATAAATTGGTAAAACACCTGGTGTTACGTGCCTGTGTGTTTTGGGGCCGCCGTTTGTTTTGCGTTTTCCCCTATTTTTCTTAAGCGTGCAGCTGATCCCCATCAGTCCTCATCAGCGAGGATATAAATGAATGGAGGAGTAGTGCCAGTGCGCCAGAAGGCTTTGACACTGTTGTGTCATTTCACCGTGTTACTCCCCCCTTCCCCTAGACCTCTGGTGGGGATGTTACACCTGGGTTCAATAATCTCACTGTCTTGACAAATCTCTTACACAAAAATCTATGTAAATGCCAAACATGTCACTATCACTAAATAACCTTGTAAAACTACTTAGCTCTTTGAATGTCAGTATTTGAGATGTACTTAGTTACATATAACTTTTGTTACTTCAAATGGGTTTAATAAGACACTGTTCTTTATCAGAGGAGGAGGATGGTGGTTTTTTTTGGGGGGGGGACGACGACGACGACGACACTCAGTTGGAGATGAAATCCTGGAGTTGAAAAAACACCTCGGTTTCTCCAGGCTGGTTTGGATTTATTTTCAGCCAAATTTTAAATGAGAATACAGTGATTTTGATTAAATATAAACAGACAGATTTGGTTATGTTTTCTGATGTGTTCAAGGACTGTCGGAAATTTGAAAATCCAATAATGATTTCTGTTTTTACAGTTTCAGACTTTGATAAATTGTGTACTTTAGGCTTTTGTTTAAAAAAAAAAAAAAACATGCCATGCTTTCTTAAAAACATCTGGTAGTAAAATTTTTACAAAACACAGCCATTTAAAGTTGTATGCTCCTCCCCTAAGCCAAAATTAAAAACCCAAGTCCCTCCCCTGTGCTGAAAAAACATTTGACATGCCTCCCTCTTTTGCACCAATCCCTCTCCTCTCATGAATGACCAACAGACCCTAAGGGATCCAATCCCGGACCTTGTTGTTGTCTGGGATGTCAGGACACTAGTACACCGCAGGTAAATCAGGTATTTGTTCTTTACAAAGTAATAACAGAAACACATATATGCTTACTGGCGTTGATGGCTTGTAGCTGGTCCGACGGGCTGTACTGCTCCTCCTCGTCGTCTGGCTCCACTGGACCCAGGTGCTTGTCAAGCTCCTTGTCATCCACATCGTCCCACAGCCCGACTACAACCTCATGATGCTCGTCGCTGATGACCGGCGGCGGCAGCGGAGGCGGCGGTGTGGTCGCACGTGGAGGTGTGGGACTCCTGTGCCGTTTCACCGGGTTCACCACGGGTACGTACCCGAACACCCGGTGGCACAGGTCGTAAAAGGGCCAGTCGACGCGGTCGCTGCCGCTGCGGATCTTCTGCTGGTGGTACTTGCTGTACTGCTTCTTGAGCGCCTTCAGTTTGCTGATCACCTGCATGTGTGACCTGTACACCCCCCGCTCCGCCAGCAGTTTGGTCACCCGGTTGTAAACTACCGAGTCCTTCACCGTGCCCGTGATCTGGTTACGGATCGCCTCCGAGCCCCGGATCGTCAGCAGTTCTTTGATCTCGTTCTCCTGCCAGTTGTGCATCGTCTCTTTTTGCTCAAGCGTCTCAACTTAGTACAAACACCTCCCTTGTATATTTGCGCCGTTTACGTCACATTTCTGCGCCGGAAGAAGACGTGCGTTAAGATTTTTTTTAAGCCTATTTTTTAAAACTTTATTTTGAACAAGTAAACAGTACAATACAGTTGCTCGTAGGAAAATATAATCTCGCATTCTTCCAACAATATCAACCGATTTAAAACGGCAAGACTACAGTTACAATAAATAATTAAAAAAATCATATATAAAAAGTAAATATAAAGAATAATATTTGTACAAGGTGACAATAAACAATCCTTCCATCTTGGTCAAATTACCAGAAATTGTGACATAGCTTGATAGACTTTTTGTCATTTGTGTATGTTAATATTTTAAAGAAAAACAAGACTTATTTAATTTATGAACCAAGTTAATGAGGGTTTCTGATTTGTCCATTACCTGAATGAATGTGATATTTACCTATAACTATGACTGATATTGATCAGATATTTCTTTGGGGAGGTTATCTAAATTAGAATTTGGTATGTGTCAAATGGTGTGATATTTTTTATTTTAGTACTAAACCCCACATAAATTGGAGTGTAAAATGACTAAAAAAAAAGTTCAATTCTTTGCGTTTCTGCTGCTGCACAATATGTATTAAGAATTTCAAACTGTACTTCTTTGGCTATGAGAAATTGGTAATTTTAAATATTTTGAGTATTTATTTGTGATATATATTTTTTAACTTTACTAAGAACAATTCAATATTACATATTTACATAGGAATATTGACTCATTCTTCTAACATAAACAAATTCAAAACTAGATGTACTCAAAGATAGTTTATTGGAGATCACTCACTCAGTAGCTTAAAAAAAGTATGTCAATTAATCCATGATAATATTCTGTTCTTGTTAATGCTGGTGTTCTTTTAATGTAAATCTTTAACATGATAATACAGTACATTTAAAGGTTTTGCCATATTATTAATTATTACCAGTAGTTATTTTGGTATTAAAGCATTTACCACGCATTACAGAATAATGAACAATTTTAAGTTCATACAAATTAACTGCTGGACACTTTGATTAAAAGTCCATTCAGTGTGTGTGACCTGGAGATTTTTTAATTTTTTCTTCACTCAACACTTGTGTGAGATGTAAATTGGACTTCACTGGTTCCCGCACTAGTTGTGATATAACAGAGTAATTCTCAGACTGGGATCAAAGGTGAACACAGAGATGCTTTCCCCTTCAGCATTTTAATTTAAAAACAGCCTTCTAAGTGCCAAACTCTGCACATGCCTGCTCTGCACAGTGAAGCTTAAACATCCACAGGAAGTTACAATAACCAAAATACATTTTTGACTGAATGTGGACTTAACAGTTTTCTTAAGCCCATGTTGACATATTCACACATGCATGTTTTGTGCAAACACTCCAAAGCCCATATGCATTCAGTTTACTGAGGGAGTAGACAGGACTGGAGCACACAGATCAGCTTTGCAGCCTTTAACAGTGCAAACAGACGAACGTTTCAGCACCACAGTGTTTTTAGAGTAAAAGGACTCTGTCAAAGGCTGTAAATTGATCAATGTGCTCCAGTCCTTTGTTCTCCCTTGGAAGGTTTCTGTCCTTGAGCTGAGAGGCACATGATTCGGCTGCATGCTTTTGGAACATGCACGGGGAGCCCTGTTTCAACTAAACATATTCAGTTTATTACCAGGTGTGAAAAAAAACCCAAACTAAAATCAATGATCTTTTGGTTGTTTGAAAATGCTTTGATGATTAATTATTGAAATGTTACATTCTTTCTGTTCAATAACTCTGGTTTCAGCCATATAAACTGCTATTCAAACAGCTTTAATTATTTGAAATGGAAGGTACGTAGTGATATATTACGTATAGCATGGCTCACAATTTACATATGTGTACCATACATCACATGGCCATAAGTATGAGACATTACACATCCATATGTTGAATATCTCGTTCCAAAGCAATGGGTATCAATATGCTACTATAACAGCCTCCACTATTCCGGGATTTTTCTCCCATTTCAGTGAGGCTGATACCTGATATGGAGGACATGACAGTTTGTCTTATTTTCTGAATTGTGCCAGTAAAAAGGGAGGCAAATTTGATGTATTATTTAGTGGATAACAGTGCAGGGGCTACTGAAACAGAGGGGGGTTGTCATCCTGTTAACAGTAGCAAATATGACACATGGATTTTCATTGTTTTTGGCAATAATGTCAGAGAAGAATGACTGGGACAAATGCTAAGTCCTTCTTAATTATGTCATAACGAACCTATTTTTTGCTAATTGCATTCAGCTTTTTAACACTTTTTTATGTGCATGTCATTTCTCAATGGTGGGTGTTTTCTTACCTGAGACCACACAATGGCATCAATAATATTTATTAATATTATAATAAGAATTATTGACAAAAATCATAGACTGAAAAACCCAAGTGGGGGAAGGGTGGAAGAGAAAGGCTGAATGAATAATTCACTGGTGTTTTCAGCGATAGTCATCTCAGTGGAAACACAGGAATGATCAGAAAGAGCAACATCAGTCACCGCAACCAGAGAAATGTTAAGACTATAGTTATTCAGAGTACAACACAGTTCTGTAGCGTCGCTGCCCTACAGGTTGTCAACATTAATGTTAAAATCATCAAATACTACTGACTCAAAGTCAATACAGAGACAGCAGGTCTATGAATAAAATACCTACAGTTTAAAATTTCCATTTTACACCTGCTGGCACTGGGAATACTTGTTAAACATATTATAGACGAGTTTATGTCCACATACTTTTGCCCATACAGTGCAGTTAAAGCTGCAGTTACTCTGCCACCAACTGGATGTCGCTACTAGGCAACTTCCACTGGTCCAACACGGAAATTCACCTCGGAAGAAACACAGAAGACTGCACTTCACTGGTTCCGCATAGGAAAAAAAACAGCCAATGCAGTCCTCCCTTACAGCCAATATCTGACATCGATCAGTGATTAACCGTACAGCCGGACACTGGCATGTAACTCGGCAGTGTTGAAGCTTAGCTTAGTCTGCAACAGCACCGACTAGTGAAGACAGTGTTCGAGCAGAAGATATGAACAGGGTGTGGATGTGTTAGCCTGGTAGCAAGCTCACCTGTTTGTGTTGTGGTGCTGGTGATGGAGCACATCGAGGAGTCTTCGCCTCTCCGGATCACCCCGACCGTCCGGGCGCTGAGCTCCGCACTGCGGGGGAAGCGTGAAAATGTCCACGATTCCAGGCGGGAAAACGGCGACAGGATCTTCCCAGAGCCGGAGAAGCTTTGGTTCAAGGAGAGCAGCGCTAAAAACCTGCGTAACAGGGACTTCTTATCGCCGACCACGATGCTCAACACGCTGTATGCGGATGGACAGGTTGGTTTGACTGATACCTGTTGGGTTTGACGGTATTTTAACGGGTTTGTTGCTTATTTCGTCGCATTTTCTGTCTTATCGTTTCTGTTAACGCTGGAGGCACCGAAAAGCCATTTGTAAAGACAGGCTGCACTGTCTCATTAAACACAGCTGGTTAACACGTTAAACTTCTTACTCTCCTATTTTATCCTTCCACTCAGCAATATAGTTCCCTGACAGTTACTAAAGGTGTTTGCTGTGGTGCGAGTGATTTAGTTAGGCGCAGTAATATTTAAATGGACGGAAGGTGTTTCAACGGTTTGGAACGTGACTCGGCCAATAGGAACTGGGGACCGGAACTATCTCCTTTATAAAGCTCAGCTGACCCTCACAGCTGTCTGATAAACAAGGTGAACGCTGAGTGAAACCCACAAATAATTTCACACATCTGAGTGAATCCGAGCTAGCTAAACCCCCTGAATTGATCAGTGGCCGCTGACTTTGCCCAATCACGATTGACCAGACATTAACAGCCTGCGGCACTAATTATTAACCCATGACTTGCAGATGGGTCAGACAGACGCGCACAGCTGCAACGCGAAGCTATCTGTGCTGCAACTGAAACAAGGCTTCCCCTATAGCCTGTTTACGGCAGCCTCTCACACAGAAAACATGACGTTATCTAGATTGTGCCCGAGTGTACTGTATTTTGACAAATGCATGTTTGAACCCACGCCTCTGGCACGTTGCGCCTGTGGGCGTGTGCATGCATCACTGTAGAGGATGCTCATATTTTTGCATGTTGTATACTCCATGATAAGCACGTATGATGGTTTTACAGATGCACTGATGTGGGTTTTTGAAGCAGATAGCAACATCTGATATTTTCCCACTGACTGTGATATGCAGTTTTGTAAGATTAGAAGCCTAAATGCATGTGGAAAAGTTTTTCTCACACACACACACACACAGACATAGATATATACATATATATATATAGGTATAGATATATATTTATTTAAGTAAGAGCTAATAAAAACAGGGGCTGCACCATATGCAAAAAAAAGAAACATTGTGATTATTTTGGCAGATATTGTGATTGTGATGTGAGTCACAATTTTAAGTAGGAATGGTAATTTTTGCATTTCATTTTCAATAACAGCATGTTCAAGCATGTTCCCTTATTTCTGGAAAATGATTTGTAGGGTGGGGCATCTCTGTGACACCACAATGCTCCATTTATATTGATATGTTGTGACACATGTAGCTCCTTCAATTTGGATATTGCACCTGGCCATATTGCGATTTGAGTATTTAAGTAGTATTGAATATTAAATGACATACTAGTAGAAAATAATCTCAAAATGCCAATTTCACTATATTGTTTTTTAAAATGAGATATCCTACAATATCACCTTGCTGCTACTTGCCATACTCACATATACTTTTGTTGCGGCGTGCATGTATATGAGACTGTAATGGAATCACTGTCTTTGTCCACCTAGGTCCCTCCAGCAGTGATGTCCAGAGTGCTGTCCCTCTGTGGCAGTGGGGTTCTCCCTGTGGCTGGTGGGGAAGTCATGGGTGAGGGGTTGAGGGTGAGGGTGGACCGAGCTGCAGCCTTCAAGGCTGTCCTGGCAGATGGAGCCACAGAGTACCTGAAGCCCTCGAGTCAGAGGCAAGGCTGTGTGGTGCTCAACTGCCCAGCACTGCACCCTAAACCCAACACACCCACTCCTGATACACTGACTCTGGGCCAGCTGAGGACTGTGCTGTTGGCTGATCACATGGGAGCGCTGTTGAGAAGACAAGGGTGAGTCTGTGGGTTAATGCTGAATTTCCAAAACATGCACATCTCCTTCCTAACTTATCCTCATCCTAAAGAACCAGTTTCTGTGCTTTATATTTCACCTCTTTATGACAGTGAGTCAGAATCACTTGCCTAAAATATTAATCAAAGACTAAATGAGCAAGCAGTGAATTCAAAAAGTAATTGGCAGATACGTTGCTTACAAAAATAATTAATTGTAGCCATAGATTAAAACTGCTGCTGTGATCAGTACCAATCTCCTTACCTGTCTCAGATTCACAGTGTCCTATTGCCCCACACTTCCCGAAGACAGCGACATCATCACCTTCCTCCGAGCTCTTGGCATCGACTGGCCGACAGCTCCAGCCAACTGGACCAACGAGGAGCGGGAGGAGAAGATTCAGGAGGCGCTGGAGAACTCCCCGTACAGAGAGAGCGAAATGGAAAGAGGCAGGAGAACAAGCGGAGGAGGAGGAGGAGGAGGGAGGAAGGCAGAGGAGGGGGAGAACAAGGGAGTGCTCAGGGTCAACCTGAAACGAGTGTTCCAGGAGGAGGGGCTGCTGGGATACGACCCCAGCCTTGGTACCTGCACAGGTGAGGCCACAAGGACTTTTGAGAAGCACAACAGCAACACGTCTTTACAGAAAGAGTTTACTGGTTAGTCAAAGAAATACAGAAAAAATGGTTTTACAGAGAGTTAAGTGCTGTAATTGTTTCTAGGCCAGGCCAGTGAGGTTGCCGTGAGGTTGCCAGGCAACCAGAAAAGACTCTCTAGGAAGTCACTGACCAAGAAGGAGTTACAGCACTGAACACCCTGTAAACCCTCTTTTTTCTTTTCTATTTGTATACGGATTGAACAAACAAGATTCACTGTATTAGTTAATAAGCTTTAAAGTGCTCATAGGCAGATTTTTTAAAAACTTTTGGGCAAAGCCAGACGAGCTGTTTGCCCCTGCTTCCAGTCTTTATGCTAAGCTAAGCTAACTGTCTCCTGGCTCAAAGGTGCATAGGGGAGTTTCCTTGTAAATGTACAAAAGTGATGTTAACATTCAGTGTAATTAACCAAAAGGTGTCAAGCATTTCCTTCCTCATAAGACATTCGTAAAGGCGATTTTTCTTAAAAGTGTGAACCCTGCATTGTTTATATCCGTGTTAACTAGCGAGCAGTGTCTTCACATCATTTGACAGTTATCATAGCAAGCAGATACACCAGATCTGCTGCTAAATTTCAGCAGCAAGAGCAGTGTTTATGTCACCATGGCTGAATAGCCTGTACAAATGCAAGAGAGATTGATAAAACGGAGAAGTGATAAGTCATTCGGTCTTACATTAACTCAAACTGTGAGCATTATTGTCCGTGCAGGCAATTATCTGTCACCTATAAAAGCTGCCATGGCTTTTGGCCTGTATGCTGACATTGTTGTTCATTTTGTCAGCTGACGATTACGTGGTTGCTGCCACTGGCTGAAGTATTACACTCCATTTAAAGTTTTACCGGACCTTGCCTAAGTGTTAGGTGCTGCACCTGTGCTCTGAAATAAAGTGGACACAGTCTTATTTTGCTTTGTTGGTGCGTTGCTGTGTATCTCAGAGCATTACCCCCACCCACTGATCAGTGGAACATCTGTGTCTTCATGCCTCGTGTGTGTGTGTGTGTGTGTGACCAATGTAAAACTGCTCCATAGCGCTACTAGTGGTAAAACCTCAGGCCAAAAGTCAACAAGTGTAGATCCTAAAATGCTGAACTGTTCCTTATATACATTGGCAATATTGCATGTTTCACCACACCTTTAAGAGAAGGGATTAATATGACTAGAGACCATCCTGTGAAAGGATCACTCCATCTGTGATACAGCAATCTGCATCTTAAGGCAAATGTTGGCCATGGGCATAAACTAGAAGGGCAAATGGCCCCTTCCGTACTTCCTACCCCCTACTTCCAGCCCCCTTGCTCAGACTACAACCATGTTCAGCCTTCATTTTGATCTCAACGACACACCTGTGATGTTTCGCGATGGCATCTTGCACAGCAACATTACTGCAGTGACAAAATCTGTCCACAGACATTCACAGACTCAAAATGAGTTCTCTGGTACTTCCCGCAACAATAGACACCAGAAGCAGGACAACATTTTGCCCTAATGACACTAACAGACTCACAAGGTGAAAACAATGCCAGCTTTTGTGGCACTGTCGCAGCTGGTAACAACATATAGTTGGTTCTGTATATGTATTGGTAAGACATTGTTGCCGTATCTGTTTCAGTACACAGAGACAGTGTTTCCCACCTGGCGCAACTGGACCTAGCCACTGCTGACTGCACAGTAAGACACACACACGCTATGCAGCAGTCATACACACACTGATGATTTCCGTTTTTCTCATGAAAAATTACAGACAAACAGACCATTGATTCGTATATCCTTGCTGTCTCTTTCATAGGTAGCCATGGCAACAGCGTTACATGTGACTTCCTGTCAGGATGAGTTCCGCCAGCAGCAGATAGCAGTGCTGTGGAGAGCCAGTGGAGTGACACACACACAGGTAACCACACACACAAACACTCACACAATCATGTATTGCGTTGTGTTCCTATATTTACCTGCTCTGCTCTGCTCTGTGTGTCTGCAGAGACATCTGGTGTGTGGGCCCGTGAAGACTCCTGGCTCTCACCTCACCGCTGCACAGTATCTGCAGTAAGACACATCACTTTCTGTGTCTCCTGTTGTGTCTCTTCCCTTCTCTTGTTCTGTCTCGTCTGTTCTCAACATTTCTGTCCTTGTCTTTAGGTTCTCTATCTGTCCTCTGTTCTCTGTCATCTCCAGTCTCTCCTCTCTTCCCCTTCTCTTCTCCGCCTCCACTCGCCCTGCCCAGCTCTCCACCAGACAGATGTTTATTATCACAAAAGACACTCTCACTAGGATCTTGTCTGCACTGTAAATTTGCAGCTCTAATTAAACTAAATCAAAAGAACACTTGTGGGCGTTGATGGGGCTTTTCTTCATCACTGCGTTATCACTGTATATTTTTAGCCCAGCTGTCTGTGTAAATGAGGCTCCTATTGTTTCTTCCTTCCTCCTCTCCTCCAGGCTGAGAAGAGGTCAGATGAAGGAGGCCTCAGAGATGAAGTATGGAGATCAAGTAGAAGGTGTGTGTATTTATGTGCACGCTCATTACAAATTATATGCTCTTACTTGACCTTAATGATACAGCCTCCTCTTCCTTGTCCTCTTGTAGGTCAGACGTGGGATGACATCATCAGGGTCATGACCTCTGCCACTGTAAGATTTGAGCTGCTGTCAACGGTCCACACCAGTCCGGTGAGTCATCATTACAGCAGTGTGTTTGTACTTGAGTGTGATGTGCTATGTGTGGATGTGTCCCACATTGCTTACTTAATATCGGCTGTATATGACTTGATAAACTTGTCGCAAAAACTGATGACAGTGTGCTCTTTGATGTAATTAGTCGAGTCAGAATGACTGACAGCTGTCTGTTTAGGTGACACTGGACGTCCAGAGGGAAGGGGGCGTGTCCACCAAAGGGCCCAGAGGAGGAGTGTTTGTGATGTATAACTGTGCCAGGCTGCACACTCTGTTCGACAGCTACGAGAGAGGAGTGGAGAAGGGTGAGAGCTGTGCTGTGCAAGAGACTCGTTTCATTTCTCCGATCAACAATACTACAAACAACAGCTGCAGCCTGGCAGTATTCCTTTAACCTCAGAATGGAAGACAAAGACAAACTTAATAAAAGAAAATCTATAACTCAATTTAAAAGACACTGGGACAGCAAATGCAGGAGTCATAAAAGTTCAGCAGTTGTTTGATGATACGCTCTGAAAACTCACAGCCTGATTTAATTGCTCTCGTGTAAAAGTGTCACATTAAGCACAATTTAAAAAGTCAATACAGACAACTGAATGTGATGAAGCTGAACTCTATAATCAGTGTAAACAAGTGACGATGAAAGATTTTCTGTTGATAAACAGTGTAAAATACAGGAAAAAGGTCAGTGGTGTCTTTTCAGCAGTGGTAGTAGAGGTTCATGAAATAACACTAATGTCTCAAATGAGTATGAGTAGGATTGTATAGTATTGTTCATATAGTTTTTTTCTGACTGTTTACCTGCAGGTCTGTACCCAGAAATCCCTGAAGGCTCCCAGCTCGACTTCTCTGCTCTGAAAGAAGAGGTACCATGTTATTTTCTTATGTGCTATTCTGTTGTCACAAATTTTATTTCTTTAATTGTCCTTTGTTTTTATTTTCCTTTCTTTCCAGTAAAAAAAAACCTTAAAAAAAACGTCTACTTCATAAGTCCTCACAGGAACATTTCAGTGTTAATCCTATCGTGTTGTCCCTATGTTTTGACTGACAGGGCGAGTGGCTCCTCCTGTTCAATTACCTCATCCCGTTCTCCGAGCTGCTGGACCAATCAGGACAGGCATTAGATTGTGAAGGGGGAGGGGCCAGAGTCAATATTAAGACTGAACAGGTCAGCGGATCAAGATTAACTGATTACTAATCAAAGATACTAAATTCAGCTGTTGAGATGTTTATCTAACTCATGTACGTGTTTGTGTTCCTCAGATCTGTAAATTTCTCGTGTCTCTCAGTAAAGACTTCAGCTCGTACTACAACAGAGTCCATGTGCTGGGGGTGAGCATCTATTTACTGTATATATTCAATATGCTCATAAATAAAGTAGGTCCTTTGCTTGTATGTGTAAATGTATTCATTTGTTTAATGCAAACGAACTAGCACAGAAGATGTTGACTCCTACAGAGAGTCTTTGTGTGTGTGTTCCCTTCCTGTTGTACCTCATATGGAGATTAGTAAAATAGCTCATTGCCCTGGTGACTTCTTGTTACTGGCAGAATGTGAATACTGAATAGTTCAGATAAAGATTAGTCCAGACTAATATTATAAGTATTATACTGTTTGTAGAATTAGATTCCAGTGGTGGCTGCACGGTAGTGATGCAAGGGTCCGCTCACAGCCTGCAGGTTGAGCAGTTTTTGGTAAGCTTGTTAGAAATTGACAGGTTTGGGCGGCCGGTTTAAAAAATTATAACTTACAGAAACATTGTGCACAATAGTCCACCTTCTCTTCCCCTCTTTAGCTGTGTTTCCATGAACATATTTTAACATGCATTTGAATATCATTAGAAAAGCTAAAAGTCGATAAAACTTCCTCAATTGTGTAAAAAAGTTTTTTTTAAATTCACCTGAGCAGCAGTCTACTTGATTTATTAAAAATAAAAAAATAAAACTGACTAAAACTAAATAAATAAATTAGTTTAATCAAGTAATCACTTTATTCAAATTTAGGATTTTGTCAGAAGATTTTAGTTTTTTCTCAGCATGATGACGTCAAAAAATATCATGATAGCCTTTCAAAGCTTCATTCAAAAACCTCAGTAGAAGAAAAAAGGAAATATATCTCACAAAAAACAGTTCAGTATTAGGTTAGCAATATTTATGTTTTTACTATGTCTTTCTCATTAAAGCTCCCTTTTGTGCCGACATCAACTTTCTTCTTTTTCTCCTGACTTCATTTCCCCCTTAACATTTGCTCTTTCTCTTTCTGTCTTTCTCTCCAGGAGCCGCTGCCTCATCTCTTCAACCAGATGTTTTGTCGTCTGCATCTGTTGAGAGCGTTGAGAGAGCTTTACCACAGCGCTCTGGACATACTTAACCTTCCCCCCATCAGGCAACTATAGCCTCGAAATAATTCACTCATCCTGTGATCACTGTTGGCCCTATTGTCCCATCAATCTCACACAAACACACTCTCACCTATGTTGTTCAATTGTAGCTTCACGTTTAGTAATGACAATGTATTCAACTACAACACACAGTCACCTTTCCCTGTTTGTGGCAATGTTACAGCACGGTCTGTGCCCACTGTCAGTGTAGCTGGCCTTACTGTAATTGTTAAAATAGTCAAAGGACGTCATCACACATAAATAACGTAATGCGACGTCAGTAAACCCTAAACTCTGCATACTGAGCTCAGCTCGATCTGGTCGGGTAGATTTTCCTGGAAATGTTGAGCTGTTTGTTAGTTGAAGAAATAGTTTGGTGTTTCAGGAAGTAAGCTTATTTGTCTGTTACTGACAGTTACAGGAGAAGTTTTAGTCCTCTCTGACGTCTTTACAGTAAATATGTAGCTACTGCAAAGAGTGTAAAAATCATTATGTGTCGGACTATTTTGTGAGTGGGGTTAGTTGCCTGGAGACAGCAGTAAGATAATGGTCCCAGTCGAGAAATGTCTGACACATGATCCCTTAAAACATTGTGTTGTTTTACACTTTGGTCTTTGTACGTATTAAACAAGCCAATTAAAGAACACTGACATCATGCTGTCATGGTGCTTTTGAGTTTCAGCTGCTCATATTTACTGTACATATGAGAAAGTGGTATCAATCTTATCCTCCACTCTCTGTAAGAAAGCAAATAAGCAAATTATTCCCAAGATGTCAAACTGTTTCTTTAAGTTTGAATTTGTTGCTAAATCTAAATTTTTCCCTTTTATAAGTATACCAGGCATCTGAATTTCAACAGCCAAATAGGCCAAATCTACAGTGTTTCAGTTAGCAAAGATGAGATGCTTTTTCCTGTTGGAGCCCTACTTTGTAATTTTAAATTCTGCTCTAATCATGTGACCATACAGGACATTAATGTGCCCTGTGACCACAAACATTTCTCCGATTTGGTGCCAAAATCCCACTAGTTGTTAAGACACCCATCTAAACTGTAGTAACCCCCCCCCCCCCCCCCCCCCCCCCCCCCCCCCCCCCCCCCCCCCCCCCCCCCCCCCCCCCCCCCCCCCCCCCCCCCCCACACACACACACACACACACACACACACACACACAGTCACTAACAGTCTCCTCTTTGAAACACGTGTCTTAGTTACTGCCTGAAGAAAAAATGCTTTTAACAAGCCTTGTTCAGCTGTTGTAAGCCCCCATCATGTATGTTAGCCACCTTGTATTTATCAGTGCCACACAAATATTTATTGTTAGTTGAAAAAAGAGATCTGTACAGAATATATATTCTGCATATGAGTCTTAATTGCTGTGATCATATGATTATTCAGAGCCCTCCAATCACACTTATCCTGCTTGACAAATCACAGATGTTCAGTATCAGACCACATGTACCAGATATAACCGGTGTTCATAAGTTATTGACAAAAACAGAACATAAGCAGCATTTAGGGCATCATGCCATAATGTTAGGAAATGCATGAAATGGCATGAAGAATAATATATGTGAAGAGTTTTATGCCAAAAATGTTATTTATAAATTTTGGTAATGACCTAAAATTGATCCTTGAAATGTGAAATGTGTTGCCATTTCAGTTACCTACTGTCTGTTCAAACGTGCCATAGCTTGTTTTGACTTTATGCTGCACATTATTTTGTAAGTTGGTGTTTTTCTTTTTTTAAGTGAAGATCTCATGTTAAAACAGAACAGCTAATGTACACAAGTATCAAATATCTTACTCACTTTTCACTGCATGAAACGTTGTATGACCCCCTGCAAATGTTGCTTGTCCCTGAAAGTCTATGGATTTTTTTTTTTTTACAGACTTTGTTTACAATATGCTGATTAATTTACAGTGACTGTCTTGTTAACTACAGCTGTACAGTAATTACCACAGTATTAAAGCAGGAGAGATGCAGATTCTTGTCCTACCTTATACTGTTCACTGTCACTATACATATATATATATATATATATATATATATATATATATATATATATATATGTATAATAGTTACAGTATGTTCACTTTAGTCATTGGCGTGTTTCTCCCACTGCAATGTTTTCATCCCTCAGGCCTCAACATCTCTGGCCTTCCTCTCCCATCTCCCATTCTTTTCTCCCCCTCTTTGCCACCCCAACTCCCATCTCTCTGCTGAGAGCCCTGATATCCTCTTATCCTGCACTGTATTATATACTCACGTTCACAGCTTAAAGGGATAGTGCACCCAAAAATGAAAACTCAGCCATTATCTACTCACCCATATGCCAAGGGAGGCTCAGGAGAAGTTTTAGAGTCCTCACAACACTTGCACTTTTGTAGAACCCCTTCACCTGACCATGTGTGTCGAGTTTCATGTCAATCTGACATGCGGTCAGAGATGGGGGACTCGAGTCACATGACTTGACTCAGTCACATGACTTGACTCAAGTAAGACTCGAGTCGCAAATATGATGACTTGAGACTTGCTTGACTAATGTTAATAAAAGACTCGACTTGACTTTGACTTTGTATTCATGACTTGAGACTTGATTTTGACTTGAGACAGATGACTTGAAAAACTTGGCTTCAATTCAATATGAAAGGCACGCTAAGCACCTCTGGGCGTCACTTCTGTTTACGTTCAACAATGTTATCAAAAACCACGGAGCTAGCCCATGTCTCACGGTCTCGCGCGAGCACACACACATGAGCACGGTGCCCAGAGAGGCAGTCAGAGCTACAGGCTATGTGGCTAAAAACAGAGTTAAAATGACGTTTTTCCAAACAACTTTTTATGTCGGGGCTTGAGGACACTTGGATCACTATGGATGAGCAGCATGGAGATATTTTGTGGTTTCAATTATGTGTTTTTGGACGTTTGAATCTGGGGCGCCATAAGCCTCCATTAGGTGAAGTTGTGTTGCTACCCCCTCTCCCTTTGGATCTCCGCAAGTGATGTGAGGACTCTAAAACTTCACCTGAGCCTCCCTCAGCATATGGGTTAGTAGATAATGGCTGAATTTTCATTTTTGGGTGCACTATCCCTTTAAGTTTGCCTGGCCTAATTTTAGTGCCACTGGTTTTGGAGGTTCAAGTACTTTCCATTTCCTTCATAGAAATTATGAAAATCTTAACATAAAAAGGTTTCATTTGACAACCCAGCAGCTACAAGATGACACAAATGCTTTTAAAAATTGGAGAAAATAATGCTTTTAAAGAAAGAACTGATTAATCATCCAACATGGCCTCGTGACCAATGTCATCAGTTTCTTTTCTCCTTTCTCCTTCTTTTCTGTTTTCGATAGTAAAAAAAAAAAAAAAAATTAAAGAAAAACTTCAACCACAAAATGATAATTTGTAAATCAATTACACACCCTGTGTTGAAAACTTTGTGTGTCTTGCATTCTTCCACAGTGAACGAAGAATCAAAAAACAAGTGGATTTGTTGAATTGTTTTAGATAGTAAGGTGTTCGCAAAAATGAATGTGTTTGGGAAGTACTGAGAATACGACTAGATAAAAAAGACTTGGCTTATACTGCAGGAGCTGTGTGAGTGTTTTGATGTAGTTCAGCTGTTTTATCCAGAACTTTTCTCCATTTTGTGATTCTTTGTTCACTGTCGAGGGGTGCTAGCAAAAAGTTTTCTTCATAAAATCAACATAACAAGGGGATGAGTAACTGATATACACATAGTCATGTGGGTGGTGAAGTATTCCTTTAAATTCTGATAACGAAACCTAACAAAATCAGCGTAACAACCTCGCACAAGCTGGCAACATTCACGCTCAGCTTCACATGACATTCCCTTCCTTCCCTAAAAAATTTCAACATATGCCTCTGAGTCTTATATGTATTCGTCTATCTGAATGTAACACTGTCAAACTCTCTCCTACACACATCTGTCCACCTACAGTTTCTGTGTCTTTCCTGTCTGCAGAATTAAAATAACCATGACAGATTCTCCCGCTGTGTGTTTGTCTCTGAAAGATGTACATACTGATACTGTTATTCTATAGATAACCAGCCTCATGCTCCACAGCAGTATAATGCCCTTAGGCCGCATAGATCCAACAATAACCCCCACACTGTATGAATATAAAGTACATGCTGTTCATAGTGATCCATCACTGCACATTTGACACTGTTAATGTGACGTGCTATTTGTCTTTGCCCCTTCTTTCTGTTTCCTTCCCTTCCTCTTGCTTGGATACCTAACTTGCAAACTACTTCTTTTCCTTCTGATGATAATCACCTCCCTCTTTTGGACCTCATTTATAAAAGGAAGGCGCTGATTAACGGCTGATTAAAAGCCAAGCATTTGCTTCTTGAAAATCAGAGTTTAGTTTCGAATTCAGTGGGCTACTTCACATTTCTGCTCGGATTTATTGCAGGCTGATTTTTTTTCCATGAATCCTGCAGACTGTGGTGATTTAATTTGCTCTAATGAAATGGTTATGCTGCAGTTTACGCGGATAAAGTGAGAGGAAGTTTTGATATTTTATAAATGAGGCCCTCTGACGGCTTTAGAAATGTACATGTATGCTGAATCTCCTTGCTGCTTTTTTTCCTCCATCTCCTCCTGTATCTCTACTGTGATTACATTGACCTGTGTGCTGTATATTACGCATATTGTAATGCAACTCTTCTTTCCTCCTTAAGTAAACCAGTATCTAAACAGTTGGTTCTGCTGCATTCAAATTGGAAGTCCCTACAGATTTTAGATGCAATTACATACATATGCAGATTATGAAACACAATCTATACTGTATTTATGAAGCCATCCGTACTGAGTGTTTTCTTTCCTCTCTCAGTTTTCTACCTTATGTAAGTCCTTCTACCTATTAGGTTTGTTTTTATGTTCTTTTTCTGTCTTCCTGATTTCCCAATATTTTCTTTCCTCCAGCTTGTTCCCTTATTTTTCTCTCTGCGTTCAGTCAGTGAGAACGAAACAAAGACACTGCTCCCAGCTAATGTTCTGTGCCCATTATATGTGGGACAAATTATACATATGCACCAGACATGGGGGAAAGTCACACGTGCAGGTCACAAGCAAGTCTCAAGTTAGTTGTGGTGAGAATCAAGCAAGGCTTCAGGACACTTGGATCACTACGGACGAGCAGCATGGAGATATTTTGTGGTTTCAGTTATGTGTTTTTGGATGTTTGAATCTGGGGCACCTTAAGCCTCCATTAGGTGGAGTTTTGTTGCTACCTCCTCTCCCCTTGGATCTCCGCAAGTGTTGTGAGGACTCTAAAACTTCACCTGATCCTCCATCGGCATGAGGGTGAGTAGATAATGGGTGAATTTTCATGTTGGGTACACTATCCCTTGAACAGGTGTGTAAATCCAGGGTGACTAGCAGCTATCGCTCGTTCATGAGAGAGTCACGGAAGACGAGGGGGGGAGGGGCGAGCTAGCTCCGTTGTGTTTGACAACATTGTTGAACGTAAACAGAAGTGACGCCCAGCGGTGCTTAGCGTGCCTTTCATATTGAATTAAAGCCAAGTCCTTTCAAGTCATCTGTCTCAAGTCAAAGTCAAGTCTCAAGTCATGAATACAAAGTCAAAGTCAAGTCGAGTCAGCGTTAGTCAAGCAAGTCTCAAGTCATCATATTTGCGACTCGAGTCTGGCTCGAGTCCCCATCTCTGATATGCACACACTAGAACTGAACCCATAAAGTTCAGTTTCTTGAGGTCACTGCTGATAGTCAGTATACATATCTTTGACATCACTTAATATTTTCTGAATGTGTGTGCCCCAAAAAATGTTATTCTTGTCAGTGTCCCTCAGATTCTAAAACCCAGAGAAATAAAATGATTGTTTGTAGCAGCTCCTTCAAAAAATACAAATGACCATCTGTACACCAGTAAATCACAGCATGTTTTGTTGAATTTGGGATGAAAATTTTGTTTTGACCATATGCCTCCACGGTGAACAAAGAATCCAAAAAAGGCAAACATTCTTCATGAACTGAAGTAATTGGGGACCACATTTAACAACAGCAAAACTACTGCATATCAAATCATCAGTTTACAAACTGTCATGAAACTCATGCAGTATAAGTCAAGTCTCATTTATCCAGTCGTATGCTCAGTACTTCTCAAACACATGCAATTTAGCTAAAACATTATTGTTTAAAACAGTCAGTACAAACTGTCACATGCACGGCTGAGAAGTGCACCTAGGCACACACATGTAATTGATCTCTCATCAAGCTGAGCTCATACGCATGTGCATGATCATTCACGCTCAGGGTGTGCTACTCGAAGGCGAAAGTGTTTTATATAGTAAGGTTTCAGTGAAAATGCAAGCGTTTGGGAAGTGCTAAACATACGACTAGATAAATGAGACTTGGATTATACTGCACAAGTTGTGTGAGAGTTTGCAACGCAGACCCTGTTTACTTCAATTCATTCAGAATTTTTGCCTTTTTTGGACTCAACGCAAAACGGTCAGTTTGTGGGTGAAGTATTCCTTTAAAGCACGATAATTAATATCAGTCATATATCTGCAAATCAATATATCTGTCTAATCCTATATGACATAGCTGTGCGTCTTACCCACAACCCTTTTCAGCATAAGCTGCTTACACATGTGAGATCAATAAATGATTACAGATTACACCCACTGGTTGATTTTGTTGATAACTTTTTAGCTTATTTGCATGGTGTTAGACTGAAACAAAGGGGCTGGAGGCACATGTTTATAATCACCATAGTTGTATTATAAAGTAATAACCGGAATAATTGGTTCTGCTTTAATTAACTGAGCAGCACAGGCAAATCAGTTGATTACCTTAACAGCATTAGTGGAGAGTTTCATCATGGTTCAGGTCAGTAGCAGAAATTAACATGTAGCCTAGATAGAAGACCATGCGGCTAATTACTGACACCTCTAAATTTTCATGGAAAAAAAGATGGTAACTGAGAATTATTGGTTCTTGTCTACATTAATCCTGCTGGACGGCTGATTCCCAATTAGCTCAACTTAACAATGGAGGAATTAAAATTTTGATAATCCATTAAAAACAATCATCACAAGCAACTTTAAATAATTAATGCTGAGGATAATTATGTTGTAGTGGTGTCTTTCCAAAAAATGGCTATGAATGAGCCTGATAGATAATGATGTTGTTGGTGGTAAAGTTTGTAAAGTAACAGTTATGTTAGTGCAAAATCATAGGCACATTTTTTACAAACTTAGACCTCAGCATTAATTACCTAAATTGCCTTATTTGTTTACTCACATATTCAGTTAAATACTAAATTAGAGTTCCTGTCCCTAAAATTGCATTACAGTACTTTGTAACTTTCTGCATGTTATTTTTTGGTGTCGTCCTGTTATCAGTATGTGTGCAGACACAACTTTGTGTCTTTGAAAAGGAGGGAAACTTATTCACTTGATTTATGGTGTTTGCCCAGGCACATATACATACCCTCCACCTGTTCTCACTGTCAGCTTCTTCTTCCAGCGTTTCTTCCAGGAAAGTCAGAAGAGTGAGAGACGGTGCAGATCCGTGCAGTCACAATACATCTCCCTGTCAACATAGCACACATAGCACAAGATCTAAGATTAGAAAAATATGCATTGAAACAGGATAACAAGTCAACTGTTGTTGTTGTTGAAATAATGAAATAACTGCTCTGATCTGAAAAAGCTGGTAAACTCCTGGCATTTACAGCCCTAAATGACGGCCAATAAATGTGGCGAGCCCACAGAGCAGTTTAATGATGTGTTTCCTTCTTCCAACAACCTGTCCTGACCTGCAGTAATGAGCTGCAGTCAGCTGTATCTGTCCCTGTTATAGAAAACGTAGTTCATAAATTCAGACACACACACACAAGCACGCACACACACACACGTATTACTTTTAAATTTACATGCATTTTGACATTCACCTAATATTCCTTTCTCTTACATGATGCATCTACAAAATGCTTTACAAAGATGGACAAAATAAGATTGTGTTGGCTTTAAAATGGGTTTAAAATGTGCATACTAGATTTTAAAAAAGTAACATTAAGGTTCATTCTCCAAATCAACAATTCTATCTTTCATTAGTCAGGAGGTCATCAGTCAGACTCTTGTGTCCTTGATAGTCGCAGGGCTGAACAATAAGGACTGCCCAACTGCACAGGGCAAGTGAAATGTCATGTCAGGCGAGTAAATCTAACAACTCACTTGCCCAATCAGGATGAAGGAAGTAGCTAAGGAATGACCAATCTCGCTTCCTTCTTATCTGTGTTTAGAGTTGCACATGTGCAGTGCTGATCTGACACTAGAAAATGACAGTAGCTAAAGACAAAGCTAATGAGCTGAAGCGCAAGCGAACAATTCAACTAGGTACAATCCACAGCGAAAATGCACAGAGGAAGTGCATCAACTATTATGCAACCAAAACAGGAAGGGGATAATGCTTGTTTTCCCCGGAAGCTATTGGTAACTATCCCCAGGTACCACCGGGATTCAAGATTAGTTCTTTTAAGTTACTATTCGCAATAGAAACTGTGGATGGTGGAACAACCCAAGTAACTGGAAGCTGTGGTAGTTGCTAGGCTCCAAGGAAAACAAAAAGCCATCCGTTTATCTTAGGGACAGCGGCGCCAACAATAATACCACTTGGAGATGATTGGGGGAAAAGTTGAAAGGTTGTCTGTTTCTACTTTAAAGCACTAGACTAGAAGGAACTATGTTCAGGGGTGCTCTGTGTGTGTGTGTGTGTGTGTGTGTGTGTGTGTGTGTGTGTTTGTGTGTCTGTGTCTGTGTGTGTGTGTCTGTACGTGTGTGTCTGTGCAGATGCATGAGTCAGGTGATAAAGAGGTCACTGTTAGATTTTCTCATTTGGGGAATCATCTGCTCCTGGGTCTGTTGTGTGCTTAACAAGAGCATCGGCGCAGCTGTTTCCGCAGATTTCGTTCAGTGTCTCTGCATATTTACATGAGTTGTATTCGCTCAGAGGTTTTTTTTCAGTTTGAATTTTGCATTAACAAACATGGCTGCACTGCAAATTTTCTCAGTGCTGTTGCTTTTCTCTTTTTTACAAATAAAGTATTTAAGCACAGCATAAATGCCTTTGTATGCATAATATATGTTCTAAAATCTATCTTTGGGTGTATTATGTACATGCATGCCTTATATTGGCATGTGCGCTCTGTTCTTGTGTGTGTCGTCTCTGGGTTTGAAATCTCCTACAATACTACAACTCGGGACATCACACACAGCTGAAACACAACTGACTGGAAGGCATGCAGAGCAATGATGTAATCTCACCGCAGTACAACAGGTTCACCACATGATGGCGATGCTTGGACAGGTTTTTCAATCAGCTGACACCCGAGTCCTGAACCCAGCCAGCCAGACACACTGCAAAAAAAAGCCCTCTGTAGAAGGTGATGTACAGTAGTCATTGAATCAGCTGTATTCTTTCATCATTTTCTTTCTGTCAGTGTGGTCAGATGATGTTTTAAATGCAGTGTAAGTACATGTTATAAGGAATTAAGATCATTAACATACATATACATATATAAACATATGTCTCACTGCTTTTTTTTTTTTCAAAACAATTAAAATTACCATCATTTTACAAGTTTGGTAAAAACTTTGGTGAGGAATGTGGGGAGAAAAAAGAACTCTGCTCTTGTGACTCAAGCTAAGTTTGATGGACAACAATCTTCTCTGGTATTTTAAGATTTTAAGGACACATGAAGAAGTAGCTGAATATGAGCATCAGTGGATCAGATCCTGAGCTTATTTTGTTGCTCTCAGCTTTCCAAACTGCTTTCTGCCAGATGTCAACATCTGTCTCTTCAGTCCCACAAACACTTTGGTTTTAGGGTTGTTTCCTATCATTTGTTATGTCATCAGTACTAATTAACCACATCACAGCTGTCTTCAAAGAGTATGGACGACTTTTCTAACAGCCACGGTTGTAGTTTTCTCTTTGTTGGGAATACAACAAAATAACTGACACTAGGGCTGGGTGATGAATCGAATTTTATCCTCAATGTCTTCCAACAATTATGAAAACATGGTTATCAAAATAATTATGGTGTCACATTTATATATTGTATATCATTTATTTTCTTTATGACATGTTCACATTCAGGTGTCTTGTGGTCAGAAAACTGGAAAAAAGCTATATCATTGGTTTGCCATTTATAATAAAGCCTTCAACAGCAGTCTTTAGCTGTTTTTTTCACAGAATATTGAATGGTGGACTATTTGATACTACTTAATTATTATAATTAATACTTGATAATCCAAATTCCTATAGTCACTTTATTCTGGTCTGTTATGAGTGACATGGTTTATTGTCTGTCTTAATGTCATTGTATTTTTCACCTTTTATTGCTATTGTATCTCTGTTTTATTGACTGTACATTAACATCAACCTGCCCAAGGACAAAGGATGGAAATTAGCCAATGGCTACAATCCTACATATTTACATGCAAGTGTCTATTAATATGTACTGTCCCTGTTATTTAAAAAAAAAAAAAAATAAGTTATAAAAGAATGTCAGACAGTGCTTCAAACATGAATGTTGCTGCAAAGAAGCTACAAATTCTAAAATGTGAATGTTGTACACACAACTTCAACCGGACAGTGCATTAGATCTACACAATCAGCAGAGTTGGAAGATGGGCAACCAAGATTAGTGTCACCAATGTAGCATCTGAGCATCCTCATAACTTTGTCCCTGAGTTATGAGATGGTAATGTCCAGAAAAGTGTTTCTGCAGAACATTATAATGTCACAATGAAGTTGACCTTTGACCTTTTGGACATAGAACGTCATCAGTTCATCATTGTATCCTATTAGACAAATTTTATCATAAATAGCCCATAAATTCTTGAGTTATGGTCAAAATCATGTTTTCTGAGGTCACAGTGACCTTGACCATCAAAGTCTAATCAGTTCCTTCTTGAATACAAGTGGACATTTGTGCCAAATTTGAAGAAATTCCCTCAGGGAATCTCTCTCCATCTTTTCAAGATATCACATTCTCGAGAATGAGATGGACACAAGGTCACAGTGACCTTGACATTTGACCCCTAAAATCTAATCAGTTCATCATTGAGTCAAAGTGGACATTTGTGCCAAATTTGAAGCAAATCTGCAAAGGCTTTCTTGAGATACTGTGCTCATGAGAATGAGACGGACGGACAGATGGACAACCGAAAACTTAAAAAAGTGGGGAAGCTGTTTTATGCGATACAATGTAATTGGAAAATTCTTCCAGTTTGTAAGTCATTTCAATCTTGTTGTGCACTTTTGAATGGCTTCCCTGATTTGTCCACACATTTCTGTCGACCTCTTTGGGTCATCTACTTCTGTGCTATTTTTGTGTGAATAGCAATACCACTTTCATGTTAATAACTTTGCCATTTTACTTTTGAATGCCATTATTTTCAGCTGGAGAAACACAGCAAACTACAATAGTAAGCACTGCTGATTTCACAGAGTTTGAACACGCTTGATGTGAATGCACCTTCAGACTGAGCACAAGATAAATTACAAGGAATCTTTTTTTGCAGTACAGTCAGGGCAGGTCCGGGAGGCTTTATCCTTTTCATCTCCCTCACCACCAATCAGAGACTCCCCTTTACAAGACCCCCGCTTGGTTGTCAATCACTCCCCTCAGGCAATAGGTTGGAGCGAGACAAAAGAGGGAGAAGAGCGAGAGAAAGGGAGAGAGGATAAAACAGGAGGGGAGCGGGGGGTGGATGTGAAAGTGGTTGATAAACACAGGGATGGGATGTTAGAAAGAGCGGAGCATGTAGAGTAATCGCTGAGTGGATCCACTGTCTTGAAGAGAGATGAATGAATGGGGTCAGGGACGCCCCTGAGAATAAAGAGGGAGGGAGAGAAGGCTTGATGGAGTGAGAGAAAGGGGGATAACAGAAGGTAGGAAGGAGTACACGCATGAGGTGGAAATGGACTGAAGGCGACAGCAGCGAGGAATTAAATAACAGCACGAAATGGAGAGGAAACATGGAAATGAGGAAAGAAAGTGTGCAAGACAGAGTGGGAAAGAAGAGTTAGCAGGAAAGAAGCAGATAAAACGAGGAGAGGGTGAGAGAGCATGAGACAAAGTGTAACTGGGTGGAAGACCAGAAAAGAGATTAAAAAAAGAGTGGAAAGAGATGGGGGGAAAGGAAGGAAGAGAAGCACTATGAAATTGTTCAGCAAGACAGAGAGACGAGAGGAGAGAATGGAGAGATGGAGGGAAAGCTTCAGTGAACAGAAGAGCAAATATACAGGGAAGATGTTGGAGAAAGAGAGAAGAAGGTACGAGCTGGTAGAAGTGACTTGCTACAAAGAAATGAAAATAAAAAAATAATGATGACAGGTGCTGGTTAATGACTAATAGAGTCGTAAATGAGGGTAAGACTGGTTTCAGCTGTATTTTCTAACACTGCGAATCAATTTTTATTTTTTCTTTCAATTATATGTTCCATGTTCCTCAAAATTGAAACACTGGACTCTCCTTAATAATTTAAATCATGGTAAGTTTACGCTGAGGACATGAGTTTTAATCATTTTAAAAGGAGACATTCAAAGTATACTTGTGATTCATAGTCTGATTTAGGCATAACAGCTCCCAAAACGTGAAGCCAAAACATCTCAGTTGCCCCCTGGTGGCTGGCTGCGCCACAGGTCATAAACTCTGCCTCTTCCATATTAGAAGATGGGACATGGGCCAAACATGGGAGATCAAAGTACAGGGCAAATAAAATTTTCCCAAAGATGGTTTCTGTTATTTTAGGTAGTTTTTATCACGAGTCTGGTTTTAATTAGTTATTTGATGCGAGTTATGAACACCAGTGTGTGTTTATGAACATTTGTTTGGGACTTTAGGACATATACAATGTATTTTCTTGTGCTTGTTTCTTTCATTTGCATTGTATAACTCTTAATGTAAAAAGCAAGAAAGTAGGAACAACAAGCTGAAGCTTCAGCCTACATCTTTATAGTCAGCTGAACTTGCTTTGGTTTGTCACTGCTTGTTATATCACCTACTTCTTCTCATGTCCTTCAATTATTAAAACACCAATCATATATCATATCATGTATAAAATAAACCAAAATAAACTACTACTACTATAAAAAGGGGTTCAATGTCATGATTGACAGCTGTGTTTGTCAGTCGGCGTGCTTGTGATCAGTGGTGCTACTCATGATTGGTCGGACAGCTGTATGGGTTGGAACTCCATATCGCAGAGATTGCTACTGTGCAGACGCAGAAATTTGGCTTCATTTTTGTACACTGGGAATAAGTGGAGATGCTTCATCCATCTTTATATACAGTCTATGGTAACAAGTCAAACAGTGC